CCGCCTGCTCGCCGGCCTCCCGGCGCGGGGGCTGGAGCCGGCACCCGAGGGGGCGGCGGGGAGGGCGCAGGCAGCGGCTGGGAGCGCGGCGGCAGTGGCGGCGGCGGCGGCAGAAGCTCGACTCCGCGGCTGGGGGGTGGCCTCTCCACGGTGCCGGGCGCCTGGCTCCCCCTCGCCTCGGGCGGCGGGTAGGTGCGGCGGGCGCGCGGGGCCGGGGCCCTGGGAGCCCACGTGTGCGGGCGGGGGCGCGGCGGGGGCGCGGCGGGGGCTGGGGGACCCGGGAGACCGCGCCTGGCCGTAGGGGGTGGGCGGCGTGGCGGCCCCGGGTGCGGTGGGTGGCCGGTGGTGTGGTGCAGGACGCGTCGCCAGCGTGGGACCGCGGTGGGGTCGGGGCCGGCGCCCTGCGCTTGTGTGCGTGAGTACTTGTGAAACTGACTGTTTGTCCACTGACTGTATGGGGATGTGTGTGTGTCTGTGCGCGCGTGTGAGAGAGGGGTTGAGAGAGAGACATAACGTGGGTAGTGCATCCATAACCGTGTGTGTAACTGGATTCATGTGTGTGGACTGCTAAGCATGGTCCTGGGTGTGTGGCCGAGAGAGTGTAACTCCCTCTCACTGTGTGTGTCTGTATGTGACAAGACGTGAATGTTCTTAGTGTATACGTGGTTGCGCGTGCGAGTGACCGTGAGTGTGTGGGCACGCTGTGCTGCACGAAGCTTTCACGGTCACTGCCAGTACTAGCTTCCTGCAGTTGTCGTTCACAGAATCCCAATACCAATTTCAGGTGCATTTCCCCTCAGCGTCTGGCACTGTGCAGTTAGTTGCCTTTGGAAGAAGTGGCTGGGGAGACAGAGAGGTGGTGGCCAGCAGAGGTGGACGGGTCATGGCCACCAGCTCTTCTTCCTAGAGTGCAAGGTTAAGAGAAGATGTTGGCTTGATTTCCCAACTGGTCCATTAAAATGAACAAGAGAATGTTTCTTAGGTGGGTTTTGATGGAAGGACACTGCGGCGAGCTTGCCCTTCTTGCCTAGATATTGTTGAGCCGGGCTCCCTGGGTTATACCTCTGCGGCCCCCCACTGTTTGCCCGGGTCCCTGTATGGAACTTGGGCATCCATGGTGAGGGAGGAGCCGCTGTGTGCTGCTGGTGAGCGCAGGTGGTGAAGGGAAAGGACACTGGGACGGATGCTGTACCCTAGAAAGAAGGAGAAAGTCAGGACAGGGGACGGGACTCCTTCAGTTCTGAGGAGCAACTTTCACCCAGGAAATGATGAGGTGGAGAAAATTAGTAAAAAGTAGAGAGACTGTTCAGCATTCTCAAGTCATTTTTTTTAAACCTATTTTTCCCATCCACTCTTACCCTAAACTCTCCTGTGTTTGCATCACTGCCCGCATTTCCCGCCATGGGAAATTTCGTGAGCATATTTATTACCGCACAGTTGAGCAGGTCGCCATTTAAGCTACAGGAAAACTGGATGCACGTCCTAGCTCTCGAGAGCTTCGGGGAGTGCTCGCTTCCTCGCCTGTTGAGCACACGAAGGGCCCAAGAGGATGGTGGTGCTCTTGGTTCCTCTGAGTTATCTGGATTTTATTCCTAAATCTGGTCCTTCTAGGGGCTACAGTGGCCTCACAATCAACAAACAGATTATATTTCCTTCTACTCAACTTCTCCTGGGCCTCACCGACGCTGTTCATCCCCTCAATACCCTTCCCCAGGTTCTCCAACGAAAGGACAGCACTTGAAACCCAGCAGAATCGACTGGCTCCCCACCTCCTGACCCTTCCCCACCCTCTGTTATTGAACTGCCGCTAATCCCAAGTCACTCTGGCTGGGAACTGAAGTCACCTCATTATATCTCTTCTTCATGAGTGGTAGTCACAGCTAGATCATTGGGCTGGGCTTGTCCGTTTTCCTTCAGTACTTCTTCAGTCTAATTTTGTTTTTTATTCCCACTGCCACCCCCTTATCAGGTGAACCCCACATTTAGGGATTTCCGGAGGTAGGAACAGCTGAAGACTGTGATCACTGAAAAAATGCCAAGCACAAGCACAGAGGAGACCCTTGATATTATCGCTGTCTGGCTAATAGGTTAAGTAAGTTCTTTGGAAGGATCTGGACCTTCTGAGGGTGGTAGCATTCTGTGACCTAGATGGAGTCTCTTGGCCTTTCTAATTTTCAGCTTCTTCATCTGTGAAATGTGATAGAAGATTTCAATTGGAATCTCGTTGCTAGATCAATTTCTAAGGTTTCTTCCAACTTTGCGAGTCCCTGATTGTCATTGGTGTTCTTTCAGTGAGAAACATTTCCCCTAATGACTTAACGGTTGTCTTCTAATACTTAACCATCTTTTAATAAAAAAAGTTCAGTGTGTCTTTAGGGAAAGGAACCAGGAAAAGGGGCAAAAGGTGGAAACAGATTATTAACTTAAACTTGTGGTTGAGGGTCAACTGCCCACATTAAGCCTTTGGCTTGAAGGAAACTTAGAGGTCACTTACTCTCACCTCCCATCAAGTGCCAGAATCTTCCATGCCATTGCCTTTTTGAAGATTGGAAAAGTGTGTTAAGTCTTATCGAGATAACTTCACACAACGTTGTAATTCAGGGTTTCTCAAATCTTTGTATTGTTGACATCTTGGGCTAGATAATTGTTTTGTTGTGAGGGACTGTCCTATGCATCATTGGCTGGTTAGCAGCATCTCTGGTGCCCATTAAATGCCTGTAACAACCACCAGTTGTGATGACCAAAATGTGTCCTTGGGGAACAAAATCCTTTCCCACCCCCAATCCCTGTTGAGAACCACTGTAGTAATTGAAACACAAGTCTCGTGGCCTTGTACACAAATGCCTCCTGACAAAGTAATTTAGTAAGTAGTTGAACTTGTGTGTTGCTAGCTGCTTTTCTACCCCCTTCCAACTTAACCACACTCACACATTTACCTTTATCCCTCCTGGTTTCTCACTGCCTTGTTGCTGTGCCTGGGAATGCTCAAGATGTTGCTGAAGGCTGAGAAGCATTTTGGAGACATTATCATAATAATCCTAATAGCGCACATTAATCCAGCCCTTATTTTGTGCCAGGCACAGTTCTAAATGCTTTACGTGGATGATCTCATTTAATCTTCATTAAGAGTCCCGTGAGGGAGATAATTTTATTCCCCACCCCCCTTGGCAGAGATGAGATGACTCAAACTTAGAGAGGTGGGATAACGTGTTCCGAGCTCTCTGCGCTGTGAAGTGGGTGGAGCTGGGTCTGTCTCCAGAGTCTGTTCTGAACCCTCACACTAAACTCTCTTCCATGAATGGGATCTTGATGTTACCGGGGGGAAATGAATTTAAACAGCTCCATTTCAGTTGTAGAACCTAGTCTGCTTCTAGGGAGGCTTGAAACTGAAGTTGGCAGTTGTGTTCATTTGAAATAATGTGATTTATTTCTCCCTTTGTCTTCTCCTCTCTCTTTGTCACTCAGGTTATTCAGAAATATCTCCAAGGTTAAACAGGGGAAGAGGGATGGTGTCAGGGTTGGGTACACTGGGGGCAGGGGGCCCAGGGGAAGGAAAGGATGGAGAAAAGGAGCAAACAATGGATGAGGCATTCCATTTTCCAGCAAGTCCTCACCGTCATGGAAACTTTAGCTATCTCTTTAGTTACCAAAACTGAAATTGCCGTATTTTTATCAACTCCTTCCTTCTGTCGTCTTAGCCTGTTCTTTCATTCTTCCATGCTGCATGCTGTTTTCATGATGCTGAGGCAGTAGAAGGTGGTACACATTGGGACCAAGGGCCATTAAGTCCAATGTAAATGGCTGTCAAGTAGGCTCATTGACAGGGTGGGAATGACGACCTTACCCATTACTATTAAGCTTGACAATCCAAGGCAAGCCCTAAGAAGGCTGACTGCTGCTTCTAAGACCTTGTATCAACAAAGCTGCAGGTTGGATAGCTGCCAGCGAATAAATCGTAGAGCCTTGGTTTTTTGCAAGCTTCATAGCTTAAGACAGCGGCTCCTAAGCTTTGGTGAGCTCCAGAATCATCTATAGGATGTGCTGAAACACAGATGGTTGGTCCCCATCTCCGGAGGTTCTGATCCAGCGCTTCTGGTTTGGGGTCTGAGAATTTGTATTTCTGACTACGATCCCAGGTGATGCTGATACTATTGGTCGACGACCCACGGTCTCAGGACCACAGGATTAAGACTGAGGTGACTGAATAAAGCTTACAGCCCATCCACCTGAAATGTTTTATTAAAAAAATATTTTGAAGGTAGCTAAGCATTTGGATTTATGAGAACCAACGGATAGAGCAAAGATTGAAAGAACAGTCACTGCTCAGTACTAGTTCACATCTCCCTTGGAGCCTCTAAGCTGTACCTCTCATTCTGAATTTCAGAAAAGCCTTTGCTTTTTCTGAGCTATGGTACTTCTAGGTTAGATTAATTCTGATCTTAGATCTTCTCCTGCTCCCTACTCCTCACAGCACCCCACGGCTACTTTAGTTGGAATGATAAAATCCCTCATTACTCACAGGATGATCCAAATGAAAAGTCCTCAAACATCTTATCTGCTGCCAGATACCTTCTGATCAGTCCCTCTGAGATTAAGAAAGGTTTCTTATCTGTCCATCCAGCTTTGGTGTCCTTGTAGTTGCTTTGCATTTTTTTCTCCATTCAAATCAACATTAGCCCCATGAAGAAACCCAACAGAAACGCAAGTCAACACATTTACATGTAACTGATGAAATTTTTAAAATCTTGGTCAAAGTTTCTTTTCAAATCAGATTTCAAGCTCCATCAACCCCTCGCTTCTTCTCGACTCAGCTTCTGCCTCTTTTTGCACAACCATGCATCCCCACCTGGACAAGGGGGCTCCAAGTACCTGCTCAGAAAGATCTAGTGGTTCTGAAGCTCAGAAGCTCATTATTTAAATAATATTTATTGAATATTTACCAGGTGCTGTGGCATTGTATACACCTGGCCTTCTTTGATTTGTATATCAAAACCCTGGAAGAAGATGGGTTTCTCTCATTTACAGATGGAGAAACCAAGGCCTGGAAACTTGAAGAAAACTCTGTTAGTTAGGCTAATTGTATCAGTAAATATATATTTTCGTGGATCCATAATAAGAGTCAATCAATATTGGCTTGCTTCAGCAAAAATTGGAAATCACTGGAAGGATAATGAGGCTTTTCTCATGT